AGAGGGGCCCCCGGGGGCCCCCGGGGGCCCCGGGGGGCCCCCGGGGGCCCCTGTGGGGCCCGGGGGCCCCAGGAGTGCCCCTGTGGGGCCCCGGGGGCCCCTGAGGGCCCCTGAGGGGCCCCTGTGGGGCCCCTGGAGGAGAAGTTGAATTAAAAAGATTAAATTATTTTTATTTTTAATTTTTAAAAGTTTTAGTCAAAGAAGTTGGAAAAGAAGGAGCTGGGGGGCCCCCCTGAAGGTCCTTGAGGGGCCCCCTTGGGGGTTTGGAAATAATTGAAAATAAAAAAAATAAAAAAAATTAAAAATTAAAAAAATTAAAAATTAAAAATTAAAAATAAAAAAATTCAAAGTTTTAAAATGGCTTCTGTTCTCCAGGCCTTTCTGGAGGAGGAGCAAAAAGCAAAAAAGGAAAAAAAAAGAAAGAGACAGAAAGGGGACAGTTTTGCTGCGCAAGACGCAGCAGCAGCAGCAGCAGCAGCAGCAGCAGCAACAGCAGCAGCAGCAGCAGCAGCGGGGTCAGAAGAAGATGGAGAGCCAGCAGCAGCAGCAGCAGATACAGGGGAACCAGCAGCAGCGACGGCAGCAGAGCCAACGACAGGAGCAGCAGCAGCAGCAGCAGCAGCAGCAGCAGCAGCAGCAGCAGCAGCAGCAGGGGGGGGTGATTGTGGGGCGGATCGGGGTGACGCAGCCGCGGCGAGTTGCTGCAGTGGCGCTGGCCGCTCGGGTGTCTCGGGAGGTGGGATCGGATCCCGGGGGAGTTGTGGGGTTTAGCGTGCGTTTCGGGTGTACGTACACCGCAGCGACGCGGCTGCTGTTTGTGACGGAAGGAGTTCTTCTTCGGGAAGCTTTCAGAGACCCTCACTTACATCATTTTGGAGCTTTTGTTTTGGACGAAGTCCACGAAAGGTCGCTGCAGCAAGAGTGTCTTTTGGGGCTTTTCAAACCCCTTTTGAGGGTTCGCAAAACCCTCAAACTCGTCCTCATGAGCGCCACCCTCGACCCCACACCTCTCCTCGCCTTCCTCCGCGCCGCCGGGATCGGGATCGGGATCGGGATCGTCTCGATCCCACACCGCTCCTTCCCCCTCAGGACCCTCTACGCCCCGGCGCCCCAGGACGACTACCTCGAGGTCCCCAAACCCTAAACCCTAAACCCTAAACCCTAAACCCTAAACCCTCGCCTCCACGCACGAGATACCGGCCTCGGGGGCTAGCTAGCATCTGGGGTTTGGGCTTTGGGCTTTTGGAGGCTGGGATCTAGGATCTAGGATCTAGGCTTTAGGGTTTAGGGTTTAGGGTTTAGGGTTTAGGGTTTAGGGTTTAGGGTTTAGGGTTTAGGGTTTCGCAGGCGGCCCTGCTAACAGTGCTTCAAATCCACTTGGCCACTGAAGACTCCCAAGGAGACATTTTGGTCTTTTTGCCCGGCCAGGAAGAAATCGAAGCTCTTCGGGCTTTGCTGCATGCAAAACTCCAACAACTCCACAAGTGTGGGGCCCCACACCCCTCGGGGGCCCCCCAGGGGGCCCCCCAGGGGGCCCCCCGGGGGGCCCCCCGGGGGGGCCCCAGGGGGGCCCCCCAGGGGGCCCTACAGGGGGCTCCACACCCCCCTGGGGCCCCCCAGGGGGCCCCCCAGGGGGCCACGCAGGGGGCCCCGGAAGGGGCCCCCCAGGGGGCCCCCCAGGGGGCCCCTGAGGGGTGTGGGGCCCCAGAGGGGGCCCCCCAGGGGCCCCCAGAGGGGGCCCCCTGGGGGCCCCCAGAGGGGTGTGGGGCCGCTGAGGTGCGCGTGCGTTTGGGGTCTGAGGTGTACGTACACCGGAGAAGCAGCAAACTGCTTGTCTGCTGTCTGTACGCCGCACTTCCTTTTGAGCAGCAGCAGGAAGTTTTGAAGCCTGTGGCTGCGCCATATACAAGAAAAGTAATTATTATTTATTTATTTATTTATTTGTTTATTTATTTATTTATTTGTTTATTTATTTATTTATTTATTTATTTGTTTATTTATTTGTTTTTTTATTTGTTTGTTTTATTCATTAATTGTCTTTAGTTGTTCTTATTTCTTTGTTGGTTTTAGTTTATCAAGTTGGTTTTCTTTGTTGTCTAATTAGTTTTATTAAATTAATTTGCTTCCATCTTTTTTTTTTCATTTTCCCAAATTGCGAAAAACCCTTTTTCAAAACCCTAAAAAGCGTTTTTGAATTCCTTTTGGTTTATTTCGAATTCTTTTTGGTTTATTTTGGTCTTTTTTGTTTATTTTTAAATCCTTTTTCTTTCTTTTTTTCTCTTTTTAACTATTTTATGTTTCTTTTTATTTTCTTTTTGTTTCCCTTTGCCTCTCGTTGTTCCGTTTTACCTTCCTGTGTCTCTTTTGTCTTTTTCGTTTATCTTTTTTTATTTGTCTTTTTATTTTTTATTTTTTTTCTTTTTTGTCTTTTTGTCTCTTTCCTCTTCTTGCTTTTATTTGTCCCTTACTTTCCTTTTATCTTTGTCATCTTTTTTGTTTATTTTAATTTTTTTATTATCCCTTTTTCCGCACTTCGCATGCATTTTTGCATGCATTTTTGCATGCATTTTTGCATGCATTTTTGCATGCATTTTTGCATGCTTTCAGGTTATTTTGGCGACAAACATTGCGGAGACTTCTTTGACAATTCCTGGAGTTCGATTTGTTGTGGATTCGGGATTAAAAAAGTCAAAAGTGATGAATTACAAAACCCACGTCGAGGCCCTCCAGCTGCAGGTCAGGTGTACATACACCCCGGCGCCCCGCAGTCCCGCCCTTTTCTCATTTTCCCTTTTTGTTTTTTTATCTTTTTTATCTTTTTATCTTTTTTAATCTTTTATCTTTTTTGTCTTTTTTGCGTTTTATTTTCCTTTTTTTCGTATTTTGTTTTTCTTTTCCTCCTTTTTGTTGCTTTATAACTCCCTTTGTTCCCTTTCGTTTCTTTTGTCTTTTTTTCGCTTTTTTTGTTTCTTTTTGTCCCTTTTCTGTTTCTTTTTTCTCCTTTTATTTCTTCGCGTCTCCTTTGTTTTCTCTTGTCTTCCCTTGTCTCTTTTCGTTTTTATCTTTTTTCGTCTTTATCTTTTCTTGTTAACTTCTTGTCAATTCCTCCGTCTTCGTTTTATCTTTTAAATACTTTTCTCCTCTTTTGTCTTTCTGAGGGGCCTACATGCATGCATGCATGCATACATGCAAACATGCATGCATGCATGCATGCATGCATGCATGCATGCATGCATGCATGCATGCATGCATGCATGCCCATAACGCATGGGGCCTTGCGTTTGTGGGGCTGCATGCGTTTTCGTTTACTTTTTTTTTCTTTTCAGGAAATATCGAAAGACTCAGCAGACCAAAGAGCCGGCAGAGCAGCCAGAGAAGGCCCAGGTAAATACAAGGGTTTAGGGTTTAGGGTTTAGGGTTTAGGGTTTAGGGTCTAGGATCTAGGGTTTAGCGTTTAGGGTTTAGGGTTTAGGGTTTAGGGTTTGGGGTTTAGCACGTAGGCTTTAGGGTTTAGGGTTTGTGGTTTAGGGTTTAGGGTTTAGACAGGAAAAGTCTTGTACGCCTCCACCACGGCCTTCCATAGATATAATGGCCCCACCGAATAAGGGCCTCCTAGAAACCCTAAACCCTAAACCCTAAACCCTAAACCCTAAATCTCCAAATCCAAAGCGTGCTTCAGCTAAAGGGCCCCCAGAGAGCTTCAGGGGCCCCCCAAGGGGCCCCTCATGGCTGCAGAGGCGGGCCCTCTAGGGGGCCCCCTAGAGGGCCCCTCTGATGGGCCCCAAGGGGGGCCCCCCATGGGGGCCCCCCAGGGGCCCCCATGGGGGGCCCCCCTTGGGGAGAATGCATGCAGGGGAGCTTTGGGGAGTATAAAATGGAGTTTTGAAGAGTAGCAAAAATGAATTTCCATCGAAGTTGAGAGCCGCTGCTGCTGCTGCTGCTGCTGCTGCTGCTGCTGCTGCTGCTGCTGCTGCTGCTGCTGCTGCTGCTGCTCGCAGGGACTGTTTACCGTCTGTACACCGAGGAGTGTTACCGGCAAATGGCGCCCCACAGAAAACCCGAAGTCCTTTCTTGCGACCTTTCGCAGCTTTTTCTCCAGCTCAAGGTGCCTCCAGCCCCAAACGCGCATGCATGCATGCATGCACGCATGCATGCATGCATGCGTTTGCATGCATGCATGCATGCATGCATGCGTTTGCATGCATGCATGCATGCATGCATGCATGCATGCGTGCATGCATGCATTTGCATGCACGCATTTGCGTGAATGCATTTGCATGCACGCAGACGCATGCGCGCATAAGCATGCATGCATGCATTTGCATGCATGCATTTGCATGCATGTGCCTGCATGCATGCAAATGCATGCATGCACTTGCATGCATGCATTTGCATGCATGCATTCGCATGCATGCATTTGCATGCATGCGAGCGGGTCTTTTGGGGCTTTTGCGCAGGTGCTTGGGGTTTCAAATCCTCTGGAGTTTCCTTTTCTGGATGTTCCGCCAAAAGAGGCTTTTGCTGCTGCTGGGAGAAATTTGTACCGCCTGGAAGCCATTGACGAAAAGGGAGAACTCACCAAACTGGGGTGCTGCTGCTGCTGCTGCTGCTGCTGCTGCTGCTGCTGCTGCTGCTGCTGCTGCTGCTGCTGCAGTTGTGGGCCTGCTGCTGCCGCTGCTGCTGTGGGCCTGCAGCTGCAGCTGCGGCGGCGGGCGTGCTGCACTTGCTGCAGCGCTGCTTTGCAGATCTGCTGCCGCTGCTGCTGCTGCTGCCGCTGCTGCTGCTGCTGCTGCTGCTGCTGCATGCATGCATGCATGCATGCGTTTTGCGCAGGCGGCAGCTAACTTTGCTGCCGCTGCCGCCAGCTCTTGGGGCTTTGCTGCTGGCAGCAACTTCTTTGAATTGTTTGGAAGGGGCCCTCACTTTAGTGGCAATGCTTTCTGCGGAAAACGTGTGGGCCACTCCTTTCGCCTTGTCCCGTGAGAAACCCTAAACCCTAAACCCTAAACCCCAAACCCTAAACCCTAAGCCCCAAACCCTAAACCCCAAACCCTAAACCCTGAAGCCTTGAGGGCGGGGCTGCGGCGCTTCTTCTTGCCGTCGTTGGGCCGCCCTGACTCTGCGTCGACCTGCCTGCACAGCCCAAACCCTAAACCCTAAACCCCAAACCCTAAACCCTAAACCCTAGGTTTGGGGCTGCATGCGTCGGGGTTTAGGCAAAAAGGCTGCAGCTCTGAGCAAAGCCAGACAACAATTTACAGATCCCACCAGCGATCACCTCACCTTGGTTGGCGCCTACAACTGCTGGGCACGGGTAAACCCTAAACCCTAAACCCTAAACCCTAAACCCTAAACCCTAAGCTGCGCGTTCACCGGGCCGCTTCGTTTTGCGCCTTTTTGGCCGGCCCAACGGACATTTTGGATCCGCCTCTCCGTCGAGTACTCGTCTCAGCGTGTAGGGTTTAGGGTTTAGGGTTTAGGGCTTAGGGTTTAGGGTTTAGGGTTTAGGGTTTAGGGTTTGCATGCAGGCAGAAGACCCTCTCGTGTTTTGCCGCGAGACGGGGCTGCAGCACTCGGCGCTGCAAAGGGCCAAACTGATTCGGGAGCAGCTGCAGCAGGAATTGCGGGGCATGGGGTATACAGACCCCGCGCTGCAGCAGCAGCAGCAGCAGCAGCAGCAGCAGCAGCAGCAGCAGCTGCAGCAGCAGGCGCTGGACCTTAGGCGGTGTCTTGCTAAAAGCTGCTGGCAGCAAACAGCAAAGCTGCAGGCAGATTCCCGTCAGTACATCACAGTGGTGAGTGCAGCCACAAACCCCACAAATCAAAAAGCAGCAGCAGCAGCAGCAGCAGCAGCAGCAGCAGCAGCAGCAGCAGCAGCACTAGTTGCAGAAGCAGCAGCAGCGGCACCATCGACAGCAGCAGCATGAGCAGCGCCATCAGCAACAGAAGCAGTAGCAGCATTTGCAGCAGCAGCGGCAGCTTCAGCAGCAGCAGCAGCAGCAGCAGCAGCAGCAGCAGCAGCAGGCTTATTTGTTTATCTACTTATTTCGCAGGTGCACCGCCAAACAGCAAAAATTCACCCAACCAGTGTCGTCTGCAATGCCACCAAGCTTCCGCAGTAAGGGTTTAGGGTTTAGGGTTTAGGGTTTAGGGTTTAGGGTTTAGGTAAAGCCGCTGCAACTGCTCATTAGCTTTTGTCTTTTGCTCCTTTTTCTCCTTTCTGTCTCTTTGCTCTTTTTGCTTCTTTTTGTTTCTCTTGGTTTTTTTTATTATTTCTTTTTTCTTATTTGAATAAACTTTCAAGTCAGTTACTTAAGGTCCTACAAGAGCAGCTGATTAGCTAGCTAGCCAACCAGCTAGCCAGATAATTGGGTGGCTAGCTAGCTAGCTGGCTAGCTAGCTAGCTGGCTAGCTAGCCAGCGAGGTAGCTAGCTAGCTAGCTGGCTAGCCAATTCATCAGTTAATTACATCATTAATGAATCCCCAGTTCACCAGCAAAGCACATAACTAACTAACAACTTATTATTTATTTATTTATTTATTATTTATTATTCATTTATTTATTTATTTATTTATTTATTTATTTATTTATTTATTTATTAATTTATTTATTTCAGGTGGGTGGTCTTCACGGAGCTTGTGTGGACCTCTCAGAAGTACATGCGTTTTGTAACGGCAATAGAAGGAGCGTGGCTGCGAGAATTGGCTCCTCGTTGGTTTGTTTCTGCTTCTGTTTAGTCTTTTGAGTTCATTTTAGCATCATTTTGATCCATTTGATTTGATTTCTTTTTATTTTTAATCCTTTTGGTTTATTTCTGCTTCCTTTTGGTCCATTTGGGTCCAAAAAGCATCAAAATCTGATTTATATTTCTCGACTTTTCCACTTTTCCACTTTCCCGCTTGCGGCAGCCCCAGGTGTACGTACACCGCAGCCCCACCAGCTGTACGTACACCTCAGCACTTGCCGCCTTTTCTTCTTTTGCTTTCCACTTTTCTTTTTCAACATTCAATTTTCAAATAATCCCAATTCAATTGCATGCACTGGGAACAACCAGGTCTTTTTCCTCCAGATTCTACAAATATTTATGTTTTTATCTTATTTAGAATTCCAGAATATTTGCGTATTTACGATACTTAGAATATTTCGAATACTTAGTTTTTACAACAAACATATATATATATATATATATACATATATATGTATATATATTATATATATAATATATATATATTATATATATATTATATATATACATATTACATATATATTTTCTATATTATATATATATATATATTTTTGTACATATTTAGACAAAAGGGCTAAAGGTAGCTATTGAAAAATACTAAATTCCTTCTAAATGCAATTCCAGGAAAGTTCCTGGAGAAGTTCCACAAAAAAAAAGGCTTTCTTTGGGTATTACCCCTGGGGTGGAAGTTGAGTTCAATGAAGTGAAAAAGCTTCAAACTTGGATGAAAAAAAGTGGATTTAAAAGCATTTTAGATCAATTTAAAGAATAAAATTCAAATTGCATTCTTTAAATCCTTCAAATGGACCTTTTAACGGAGACTGGAGAGGTAATTTCAAAGAAATTCCGTTTTTGAGTTGAAGACAAATCCAACACTTCGCGTTTGTGGTCTAGTGGTAGAATGCCTCGTTGCCATCGAGGCGACCCGGGTTCGATTCCCGGCAAACGCATTTCGTTTTTAATTATTTCAAATTTTAAATTACTTTATTATTTCAAATTTATATCTTTTAAATTACTTTATTATTTCAAATTTATATCTTTTAAATTACTTTATTA